TGTGGGGGGGGTGTCTCAGTGCCAGAATTTAGTACCAAGCCCTGCTCAAAAGCCCCTTGTGCTGGATGCAGATAGTGACACCCCTGATCCAGATTCATTACAAAACCAAATATTACTTCCTGCTAAATCTTGCCACTAGGTGGAGATGATGCATTATTCACAGTAGATTGACTATGGTGAATAATGTAACATTTCTTTACCACTTCTAAACCATCATGAAATGCTAAGTTTCCTAGAATACACTGGATTCTTGAGAGTTGGAGATCTCTATCATGCTCTTTTAAAAGATCAGTCCACTTTGCATATCTTTTGTGAACTGAAGTAGTATATACCTGAAAAGTTTTCAGGTGAAGCGCAATAAGATCCTCGCATAGCAACATGCTGCAAAAAGATGGGAAAGAGCAGAAACCACATTGAGCATAACAGAAGATTCCCTTTCAAACTAAAAAGCAATTCTTTCATGGCACATTTCTATATCACCTTTTTCAGTATAAAAATCCTTGGGAATTGTTGTAGAAAGTTTGTACTACAGTACAGTTGTGCAATCAGAAAAACAGATTAGTAGTTTTAACTGCTGTAACAAGCACAGCATATACACACTGAAATCCTACTGCTAGGCAAGTGTCACTTATTTTACTGTTTTAATTGAGGCCTATATGAAGAGAACGAAAGTAGATGTACATTCATTACATTTTCCAGCTGAATGGCAATTTCAGGAATGAAATTACTTTGGAGTCTTCTGGGTATGGTTTGTTCATTCTGTTGTGTTAACAGAGTGATTATATTCTCCACAAAGCAAAAAGCCAGGCAACTCAAACGGACCATTTTAAGAGCAAAGCCAGGACAGTTATGTTCCACCAGAACTAGAAAGAAAGCTTTAACCATCATTTTGTGAGTCATAACTCAGTAGAATAGCAGCAGCCAATGATGCTTTGGCAAATATTGCTGATGACGAGATGTGGTCCTGCGACCTGCGGGTTTGACATAAAACAACCCCCACTGACTAAATGGGTGCATGCAAGGGGGTGTTTCTGCTGCTCTAATTCTAGAATCATTTATCTGTAGCATCGCTTACCTGCACTAAAAGGTCTCAAAAACATCCAGGGTACCTTTTTTTTTTTTTTTTT